CGGTTTGTACTTACCTTAGAGGGGGGGGGGGGGGGGGGGAGGGAGGGCTGTGGGGAGGGGCTCCAGGTAAGAGTAAAAACATGAGAAATTCTTGCTAACAAGAACATGATAGCTACAATAGTGTTTACAAAGGAATGACACAGAAGATTATCAGACTGGAAGATTAACAGAAGGGCTCTTTATCCTTCCTAAGTTCTATACCCTGCAGACCACTTTCCTCCCAAGCTCTGTGTTCTGACCTTGAGGGGAGGTAGAGTGTGGCTGGAACTTAGGTTAGGTAATTGGAAGGGAAAGAGGAGCTATCGGAGTTTTGATTGACTTGAACAGATTTGGAAATATTACCAACTATCCCTCAGAACTCTTGTAGGTATAGAGGAATCCTGTGACCTTCCAGAAATAGATGTGCCCTAAGAACTATCCATTCTACAAATATTTATCTAGGCCCTTGCTTCATTTGTATTGGACCCTGGGGAAGAGTTAACACAGCAGTCACTCTCAACAACCGTCTGTAACTCCAGTTCCAGGGGATCCGCTGCCCTCTTCTGACCTCCGCAGGCATTGCATGGCAGCAGGTGCACCTACCTACATGCAGGCAATGCAGTCATACACATAAAATAATAATAAATAACAGTTTTAAAAAAGATAGTATGAGGATTAAATGGATGAACGTGCAAAGTGCTCAGATGATTTGGGATGTATAGCGAGGGTCAGGAGGAATTTGCTCTTGTGCTGTTAGCATTGCTGTCATTGTGGGACTCAATAGTGGGGAAAATCTTCCCTAGTAATGTGCTTTGCTAAGCTAGAAAGCCCTCCCAGAGGAGGTTACCCAATATGAATAGTGACAAAGCAGTGACAAATGGCCAAGGGAATGAAGGGAGCAGAAGAGAGAAGGGAAAGAGGAGCAGAAAGGCAGAGGTGGAAGACACAGGAACCATGTGTGGAGAAGCCCAGCAAGTCGGGAGCAGAGAGCAGTTTCCTTCCATTGTGGAGGTGATTTTGAAGATAAGGCAGAGGGCTAAGGATAGGCCATTAAAGGCCTAACGGGCCATGCAAAGGAATTTGGAATTTTTTTGTTAAATTCATTTACAGGGGCTGGAGAGACGGCTCAGCAGTTAAGAGCACTGACTGCTCTTGCAGAGGACCCGGGGTAGATTCTCAGTACCTACATGGCAACTAACAACATCTATAACTCCAGTTCAAGAAAAATCTGATGCCCTCTTTTGACTTCCATGGGCATTGCAGAACATAGGTACACTTACATACATGTACATACACATAAAATAATAATAAATAATTTTTAAAAATCCATCTACAGAAGAACTGTTTGTAGAAATTTCTGAGGTGCTTCCTAAATTGTGTTGGCAAAATTGAATCGAGCGAGGAAATGGAGAAAAGTGCACTTGATGGCCAGTTTCTGCTAATATGACTGGAGAATGGAATGGGATGTCCCATAAGCATCTGGCCCTGGCTGTGGATCTCTGGGCTTTTGCTGATAATGACTGATCTCCTGTGACTTCTTTTGTTGGAATTCAGAGTGGCTCCCCTCTACTCACATGGCGTGAAAATAGCCTGCCTCTCCAGTGGCATTCAAGGTCCCAGCAGAGTCTTCTGAGGGCCTTCACAGTATCCCTATGTCCTTACTGTCAGAACCCTAACAGTGTGTTCTCATGTACATACTTTGATCAGCTGGAAATGCCTGATTTGCTCATATTGTTCATATAATTCTCCCTCCTTCCCATTCATTGACTGCAGGATGGATGGGCACTTGCCACAGTTCTGACCAGAGACAAGAGGAATCAAAGGAAGCTTCCAGGAAAGTGTTCCTCACTGAAGACAAGATACACAAGATGCCATGGCCTCTGTTGTGTGACTCCTGGAATTGTGCATCATCTAGCACAACTGAAACAATAGCACACAGGGCATAGTTCCATAAGTTTTGTTCTGCTGAAAATTGACTGTTCTAGCCACTTCCTAAGATGTAGATAGGGGGTGATCTTTTTGGTAGATTAGAAAGCTAAGAGAAGCCAGGGGGCTTACACTTTTAGTCTCAACACTTGGGAGGCAGAAGAAGGCAGATCCCTGTGATTTCAAGACCAGCCTGGTCTCCATAGTGAATTCTAGGCAAACCAGGGCTATATAGTGAGACCCTATCTCAAAAAAGAAAGAAAGAAGGGGCTGGAGAGATGGCTCAGTGGGTAAGAACACTGGCTGTTCTTGCAGAGGACCCAGGTTCGAATCCCAGCACCCACATGGCAGCTAACAACTGTCTGAAACTCCAGTTCCAGGGGATCCGATGGCCTCTTCTGACCTCTGCGGGCATTGCACAACACGGGTGAACTTACCTACATGCAGGCAATACACATAAAATAAAAATAAATAATAAAATATTAAAAAGAAAGAAAGAAGAAAGAAAATGAGAGATAAACTGGTATATATTAGGCCTAAGGAATGAGCAGTAATAAACCTACGTACCATGAAGGGTAGTGCTTCTATAATACCAGGATGATAACACTGTTACACAAATAACATTGCAAATATTCTTTGCTTCTGCACGATTTAAAAAAAATGCATATGCATGCTGTTTTGTCTATCCAACAGGCTATAAATAAGCTCTCTGAAGGCCAATTGCATAGAGCCTCTCCCATTGGAAACAACTAATTCTTGATCTGTTTCTTGATTAACACTTCCTACTGTTTCAAATCTGCTCCATCCTGTCATTCCTGTGATAGACGGATGTTATGCAGAAGGTCAGGAGCTCTGGGTTCCTTCAACCAAAGTGACCTGTTTGATCACTATGTGAAAATATAATGCTAGATGCATGGAGATTCTCAGGAGGGACAAGGAAGAAGCAAACTAATAAAATGAGGATGAAGCCTAGGGATCTGCTGACCTAAAAATTCTGCGGATAAAATATTCTCATTAGTAAAATCAGGCTCCTTGTGCAGGAAGCACCCACATGGAGACAAGAGGCATCTGTCATTACTTCTGCCTATGACCATTCACCACAGATAGTAAAATTTTAGGGGCTATATTAGGAATTAAGGAAGATCTGGGTACTTTTAATCTCAGGCTACCAATAAAGCCTACAATATTTGCAAGTTTAGTCATAGAGTTGACAACATTTGCATAAGTGAGCAGAGTAATCCAAGAGCTTAAGTCTAACATTTTTGGAAGAGAGAGAGAGAGAGAGAGAGAGAGAGAGAGAGAGAGAGAGAGATCTCAGAAGGTCAGAGAAAGATTATTGGGTAGTCTGGGAAACAGAAGTAGACAAACTCATGGTCCCCTGAGGTCAGCTGTCCCAACCAAGAAGCCCCATTCACCTCACCTGCTGTCATGAGCCTCCCATACACTCTGGGTGAAACAGCTTAGCAAGCTCTATCTAAGCCTTATGACTTGGTGGCCACAGCGTGGTGCTCTTCCTCCCTGATCAACTTGAGACTTCTAAAGGTACCAGGCTCCCAAGGGAGTATTCTTATATAGGAATATGTTTTGGGAAGATGAAAAGCCCCCTCTAGATATCTGGGAGGCAGCCTTTGAATTAAATGACTTGCCTGCCTGCTAATGTAGTACACTAGTTTAAAAGTTAAGACCCAAGGGACCTATATTAATTATTCTTCTCATCACTGTGACACAATATCAGACAAAAACAATTTAAGGAAGGAAAGATTTATTTTGGCTCACAGTTTGAGAGTTCATTGTGATGGAGAAGTCATGGCTGCAGGAGTCATGCAGCTGCTCACACTTCATCTTCAGTCAGGAAGCAGAGAGCAGTGAGTACTGGTGCTCAGCTGCTTTCTTCAGTCCAGGACTCCAGCCCATGGACAGGGCCACCACATTTAAAGTAAGTCTTCCCACTTCAACAAACCCATGCTAGAAACTCCCTCCTAGACTCGTCCAGAAGTTTGCCTCCTAAATGATTCCAGATCCTGTCAATTTGACAATCTATATTAAACATCACAGGGACTGTGTGAGAGGAGACAGCTCAAATCAATGACTTACTTATCTTGATATCAGAGTAGCATAACAATATACTTCTAAGAGGCTTGTGAGGCTGTCTCTATTCTTCTGGCTGTCCTTGGAGCTCTGTTGGAATCCATGACAGCCCAATGGGGAGGGTAAGGTCTGGTATAAAGACCCCTGAGACAGAGAAGAGTGGTACTGGTTAAGGATCTAAGCATTCATAGGGTTCTAGAAGGACTTGAGGTTACTTGGAAAATAAAGAGCTACTTTAAAAATAATTTAGGATGGATGACTTTCTTCTGTGTTCTCCACTCCTATGGGAATCGGGAGCCATTTCCCAGATCATCTCTCTGCCTGATGCTGACAGTGTTTTAACTCTCCAGTTTCTCCAGGATAGCAACTTCCTTCTGTTTGGTCTGTAATCACTTAATCAATGCTCACAGTAAGCCCTCATCACACACCTGCACACAGCACCAACATACACATACTCATGCTACAGGGCTTTCAGTTTGAGTTGTGATATTTTGGGACCAAAGTACTCTGAAAAAAATAGAAAAATCTCTCACCAATCTAAGGAAGTGAGCTTCTAGATATTGCTTTTGCAAGTGTCCAGCTGGAGAACCATTCTGTGGTTCCCTGGGTTTCTCCCCACACTGCCTGCTTCAGTTATAGCAACACACAAGGGTTTGCTTGAATTCTCTGAGGGCAACAGGTTTTACTTAGCTCTTAAACTGTTCTTACCAAGTTATCTAATACTGTGACTATAAAGCCTTTTCTGCTTATAGCTAGCTAGCAAAAATGCTTCACTTGTTTGTGTCTTGGGTGTATTTTTGGTCTGGCTCTGTCGTTTGTCTTAGTCTCTCACAAGTTTTTGAAAAATTAATTTGAAGAGTGAAAAAAAGTAAGGCAAACACTGCTCTCCGTCTTGCTGTGGCTCACTCTCTCTCTCTCTGTGCTTTGAAGGAAATGCATTTCTGACACTTTTAAAACAAGCAATCACATGTATAATCAACTTAGTTAAAACTTCCTTCCTGGTAACTGCAACACTTCCTCTGCATCTGGATATGAAGGGAGCCCCAGAAAAGCGGAAGAGTTGAGAGGTGTACGGGGTAGGTTTGAATTTGTTTTGTTTCATAAAGTAAACAAATGTCCCTTCAGCATCACCTCCGGGGCTTGATCAGGTATTGCTGCTTTCTATTTTTTGCCTTTTGTTGGGTCTGACTCGGTCAGAATAGGGACACTTCCTTCTCAACTAGAATATTTTTATCTGGAACTGTTGCCGGTTTGTAAGATGAGGGAGCCACTGATGTTTGTTTCACTGTCTACTCCAGCCTAGACTGTGGATATCCACAAGGTTCTGGCTGGGCTTTGCAGGTGCATCAGCTCTTTCTGTTTTTGTCTGAAAGGAAGGGGGTGGCCTAGGAGCCTGTGACGGCCAAGCTTCATAATTTTACAAGTGCATGCTTAGAAATTACTGTACTTACAGTGTTTCAAACAGCTTTTTTTTTTTTTTTTTTTTGGTAAGAGGACAAAGCTGCTTAGCTTCAGCCATGAAGGAAACCAGTGAGTATTTCTCAGTCTGTTTTCTTCTGCATCTTGTATCATGTAAGACTTCATGGTGTCATTGAGGCAGACACTGATATATAGTTGTATGGCTAAATCTGGACATATTTTATTTCAAGTTCATGTCAGTTTCAATATATATTATTGTTCCCATCTTTGTTAGTTATTCTTCAGTGTAGCAAAAGACCAAAGTGAATGTTTTAAGCTGCAAGAGACAGTTGTTTGGGACAGTTGGTTTCATTTACTAAGTATAACCTCATTATATTTTAGGAGAGGGAATATTGACTTTAAAAATAACTTAAGCCAAGATTTGAACACAAATTTAGATCTAATGAAGCTTGCCTTTTTTAGCTTTTAATCAAAGTTTCCATTTTAGCATGTAACAAACGCTACACTGTTTTTAAGGGAATAAGTAATTGTGAATCTCATTAACATTAGTTATTTAAGAGAGTAAATAATATTTTCTAAAATATTAACTTGTTTCAATATTTGCTTGGTATTTAGAATGTAATGTATTACAATTCAGTGATGCTAAATATTAAAACCAAACTGTTTTATGATCCATCTTTCAATTTTAATATTTTGAGCATTTTAATCATTAAAATGGGTTTCTCAGCCGGGCGTGGTGGCACACGCCTTTAATCCCAGCACTCGGGAAGCAGAGGCAGGAGAATCTCTGTGAGTTCAAGGCCAGCCTGGTCTACATAGTGAGTTCCAGGCCAGCTGGGGCTACAGGGAAACGCTGTCTCAAAAAGACCAATAATAATAATAATAATAATAATAATAATAATGGGTTTCTCAGTGCAAGAGGTCCTGTTTATGTTTAAATGCTTTGGGGAGGGAAAATACTAACTATTCATAGAAATCGTGGATAATTTAATGGGAATAAATGTATGAATTTCTGACATGAAGAAGAAAATAAAAATATTAGAACAAAAAGAAACCAAATAACTGTTTGGTGTCTAAGCAGCAGCTCCCTGGAGTGCAGAAGCATGCCTTCCACCTCGTGGTTCCTCTGTTTTAAATAGAGGCAGTTCAAACCAATCGGCACCAAGTTAAAATTACCTAAAAGTTCATATTAGGAGGATTCAGGCTTGGGTGACTCCACTGAAATGTAGCTTTGACAGCTAGAATGTTTGCACATCTCATGATTAAAATTTTTATGTATTTCCAAATGGCTTTGATTACAACTTTACCAATTCTGCTAATTTTTTTTTTTTAGTTTTATGAATGAAATGACTAGCTTTCTTAAGTAAAAAGAAAAAATGAAAAGGGGGGAAAAGCAGGAAGTTGACTGGGAGTAACGCTTCGGTTGAGATGGTTTGAAAATAGAGAAGATGAAGCAAGACTGAGTAAGTGTCTGGGTTAGAGAAGTGTGAGACTGGATGAACAACGGAAATAAGTTGGCTTGTTTTCAAAGTGAAAACAAATGTCAGGGACTGACATTGCACTTACACTTAAACTAGGATTTAATCCTAGACTGTACTCTTTTACTTATCTGTATGTTTTAAGGTACTCAAAAACAGTTAACATTTTGAGCTATGAAATGTCAGACACTGTGCTAGATGAGTGTTTTACATACCTTTGTGTGCATATGTGAGTGTGGTATATGTGTGTCTATATGTACAGGTGTACAGGTTTGCCTGTGGAGGCCAAACGAGTCCGCCCTCTACCTTATTCCTTTGAGAAACAGTCTCTCATTGAACCTGAAGACAGGCTGGTGGTCAGCAAGCCTGATTCCTTCTGTCTTCACCCTCCTCCCTCCCACCACACAACACACAGCACTGGGGTTGCAGGCCCACCAGAGGCCACACTAGGCTTCTGTGGGTACTTGGGACCAGAACTCAGGTCCTCACTGTTTGTACAGCAAGTGCCTTTACTCACAGAGCCATCACTCCAGCCCCATAGTGTTGTTTTTTTTTTTTGTTGTTGTTGTTTTGTTTTTTGAGACAGGGTCTCCCTGTAGCCCCAGCTGTCCTGGAACTCACTATGTAGACCAGGCTGGCCTTGAACTCTCAGACATCCGCCTGCCTCTGCCTCCCGAATGCAGGGAAGGTGCGCGCACCCGGCAGTTGTCTTACATATTTTTATTTAAAACATTCAAACACAAAGCTAGAGAAAATGTGCCTATATATACTGCTAGTTCAGAAAAGCCCTATTTAACTCTGCCTCTATCCTCTAGGTATTAACTAACCAAACTGTCAGATAAGAAACAAGCTCAGAGTGTAAGCAACCCACATCACCTAGTTAGTGGCTGGCCAGAGATTCATTTCCAGACGCACACTGTTAAGTGCTGTGCTGCCTCCTGCTTAAGGAACTTTGGTCCCTCTGGTTCCGAATGCCCACACTCAACCTACTACACCTTCTCTTTGCCATCTTACAGGAAAATGTAAAGAGAAAGGTCTGTCTCCTGACAAAGCTCTTTCTGTCCACTCTCAGGTCGCTCGGGGCATGGAGCTGGAGAATTATGAGCAGCCGGTGGTTCTGAGAGAAGACAACCTCCGCCGGCGTCGGAGGATGAAGCCACGCAGTGCGGTAGGCAGCCTGTCCTCCATGGAGCTCATCCCCATTGAGTTCGTGTTGCCCACCAGCCAGCGCATCAGCAAGACTCCAGAGACTGCGCTGCTGCACGTGGCAGGCCACGGCAATGTGGAGCAGATGAAAGCCCAGGTGTGGCTGCGCGCCCTGGAGACCAGCGTGATGGCGGACTTCTATCACCGGATGGGCCCAGACAACTTCCTCCTGCTCTACCAGAAGAAGGGACAGTGGTACGAGATCTACGACAAGTACCAGGTGGTGCAGACCCTAGACTGCCTGCGCTACTGGAAGGTGCTGCACAAGAGCCCAGGTCAGATCCACGTGGTGCAGCGACACGGGCCTTCGGAAGAGACCCTGGCCTTCCAGCGGCAGCTCACCGCCCTGATTGGCTATGATGTCACTGATGTCAGCAACGTCCACGATGACGAGCTGGAGTTCACACGCCGCCGTCTGGTCACACCTCGTATGGCCGAAGTGGCTGGCCGTGACGCCAGGCTCTATGCCATGCACCCCTGGGTGACGTCCAAGCCCCTCCCAGACTACCTGTCTAAAAAGATTACCAATAATTGCATCTTTATCATCATCCACCGCAGCACCACCAGCCAAACCATCAAGGTCTCTGCAGATGATACTCCCGGCACCATCCTCCAGAGCTTCTTTGCCAAGATGGCCAAGAAGAAGTCACTAATGAATATCCCGGAAAGCCAAAATGAGCAGGATTTCGTGCTGCGGGTCTGTGGCCGGGATGAGTACCTGGTGGGTGAAACGCCCATCAAAAACTTCCAGTGGGTGAGGCACTGCCTCAAGAATGGAGAGGAGATTCACCTGGTACTTGACAGTCCTCCAGACCCAGCTCTGGATGAGGTGAGGAAAGAAGAGTGGCCACTGGTGGATGACTGCACTGGAGTCACCGGCTACCATGAGCAGCTGACCATCCACGGCAAGGACCATGAGAGCGTGTTCACAGTGTCCTTGTGGGACTGTGACCGGAAGTTCAGGGTCAAGATCAGAGGTATTGATATCCCCGTCCTGCCCCGGAACACTGACCTCACTGTTTTTGTGGAAGCAAACATCCAGCATGGGCAGCAAGTCCTTTGCCAAAGGAGAACCAGCCCCAAGCCCTTCACCGAAGAGGTGCTTTGGAACGTTTGGCTTGAGTTCGGCATCAAAATAAAAGACTTGCCCAAAGGAGCGCTACTGAACCTCCAAATCTACTGTGGCAAAGCTCCAGCACTGTCTGGGAAGGCCTCTGCAGAGACTCAGGGTTCAGAGTCCAAGGGCAAAGCCCAACTTCTCTATTATGTGAACTTGCTGCTGATAGACCACCGCTTCCTCCTGCGCCACGGAGAATACGTGCTCCACATGTGGCAGATATCTGGGAAGGCAGAAGACCAAGGGAGCTTCAATGCTGACAAGCTCACTTCTGCAACAAACCCGGACAAAGAGAACTCAATGTCCATCTCCATCCTGCTGGACAACTACTGTCACCCCATAGCCCTGCCTAAGCATCGGCCCACCCCTGATCCTGAAGGGGACCGAGTTCGCGCTGAAATGCCCAATCAACTTCGCAAGCAATTGGAAGCGATTATAGCAACTGATCCTCTTAACCCCCTCACAGCAGAGGACAAAGAATTGCTCTGGCATTTTCGATATGAAAGCCTGAAGCATCCAAAAGCATACCCTAAGCTATTTAGCTCAGTGAAATGGGGACAGCAAGAAATTGTGGCCAAAACCTATCAACTGTTAGCCAGAAGGGAGATCTGGGATCAAAGTGCTTTGGATGTTGGCTTAACTATGCAACTCTTGGACTGCAACTTTTCAGATGAAAATGTAAGAGCTATTGCAGTTCAGAAACTGGAGAGCTTGGAGGATGATGACGTTTTACATTACCTTCTCCAGCTGGTGCAGGTAGGGGACCATGATGTCAACAGAACTGCTCTCTCAAAGAGCTTATTTGCATGTACCAGGCTCCCCATTCAGATGTCAGCAAATACCCTCTGTTCAGAGTTTCATGATCAGTCAGAAAAGGTCTGATGAAGCCACCTCAAAAAGTAGTAAACTCTTCCATTTACTTTTTTTAAACGGTCTTTGAGGTTTTGACAACAAGCATTTTAAAGACATTGGTACTGCCCTTCACTTTTTTAGGAGAATTGCCCCAGTGCCCAGTGGGAATTACATTGTCCTCGCTAAGGTTCCAAGTGATTTACGTGGTTTTTTTTTATTTTTGGTTTTGGGTTTTTTGTTTGTTTGTTGTTTGTTTGTTTTTTGGGGGGGGTTGTATATTGTATCATTTGACTCCACCAAAGATTATGATGGAGGTGAAATTAACATTTGCGTTTTATGTACAAGGAAATTGAGGTACAAAGAGACCAAGTTATACATCCAAGATCACATATTTTGAAAGAAATAGACCAGAATTCCAACCCAGGAATTTAACTAACTCCAGGCTGTCTCCTTCTCACTATCACTTTACCTCTACTGCCGCCACTTAATCTCCATCAGTGTTTTTTACCATTCATAAAACAACATGTCACATCTGGGAAGAATCTTTTTTAAAAAATTTCTTGGGGCTAGAGAGATGGCTCAGTGGTTAAGAACACCAGTTGTTCTTGCAGAAGACCTGGGTTCGAATCACAACACCCACATGGCAGCTAACAACTGTCCATAACTCCAATCCCGGGGGTCCGAAAGCCTCTTCTGACCTTCATGGGCATTGCACGACATGGCTGCACTTACCTACATGCAGGCAATACACACATACACATAAAATAAAAATAATAAATAAAATTTTTAAAAATTTCTTTAGTCTTGAGAATTTCATACAGCTATACAATGAAATGTGATCAATATACCTCTCTCATTTCCTCTTCCAAGTACCCCTTTATTCCCCCAACATATCCCCCTCCTTAGTTTCTGTCTTTTGTTTGTTGTTTTTTTTTTTTTTTTGATAACCCACAAAGTTAAAACGAGTGCTGCCCATAGGTACATGGGTATGGAGCCATCCACTGGAGCATAGGAAACCTATCAATGGCCACATCCTCCAAAAAGAATAATTCTTCCTTCCCCAGTCACTATCAACTTCCAATAACTCCTCAGGAAGAGGCAGGGCCTGGAGATCATCTACCCTATCCATGCTCAAATTTGGGCTGACTTGCTCTTGTAAAGGTCTTGTAAGGGATCCACAGCTGCTGTGAGTTCATGATGGATCTGAAGTCTGCTCCATGGGAGGAAATTTCATGCCTGATACTGTAATCCTGGTCAAAAGCCCGTGGTTGGGGGAAATCATAGATTCTAGGGTAGAACGTGCCATTGTTATTCTGTTCAATGGTCATGCTGGGAAGAATCTTGATGACTGCCCTCTTCAAATAGGCATGGGACTGTGTTTCATTCAGTTCTCATGATGCTGTGCACAGTCCTGTGGGTTCAGTGATATACCTGAGGTTTAGCTGTTTGGTAAATAGCCAAGAAGCAACAGCTCTGCTCACTTTATCAGTTCTCAAATTTTATTGACAAAAGGAGATAAAATAAATGGAATAGATATATTGTTGCACAACACAGACATGTCCATTCATTAATTGAACAACATGTACTGAGAAGACTGAAACTCCAGGTCTGCTGCAGCAAAGCACACACATAGAAGTGTTTATTAATAAATTGTGACAAGGGCTTCAGGGAAAACTACACAGTACTGTGAGCAAGCAGGAAGTCAATGGACACTTTATTTTGATTGACAGATCCAGGGACAGTTCTGAGTAGGTGATGCTTGATCTGACAATTTTTCATTGTCATTTTTCAAATTAAACATTGCAAAATTAGAAGATGAATTGCATTCTTAGAAATGTTTTAAATGAAAGAGGTCAGTAAAATTAACACTGGTTTTGTGGTCTTAAATTTGAAGAGTAGCATTCATATGTGCAACTGTTTGAAACATTTTCAGATCTAACTAAATGACTCACTCCTGGTTAAAATGGTCTCCTGGTTGCAATCTGCATCAACTTTGTAGAACTGAAACACAAAGGAAGACTCACACTAAGGTCAGAAACTTAAACACGTTTAGAGTCAATTCTGTTGTCCCGGTAACCACATTCTCAGAACTTGGCCTTACATGCAGCTATTATAATGCCTATTTGACCACACCCATGAGAAGCATTTTTGAAAGAATGGCTAAAATTGAAACACTATGAAGTCCATATTGATCATATCCAAACTGGAAAACCAGGGTAAGAATCATTAACAAAACTGAGAAGGTGCCAGACCCCAAATATACACCAGAATGGAAATTCTTTCTGTTCTTTGGGGGAAAAGACTTTCTACTTATAAAGGAAGTATTCTGAGTTAGTTAATTTTAGGCCTTTGAATTTTATATCTGATATATACTTTCTAACTTTATGCATTTATAACTAAGTATGTGTTAATATTTGTTGCTTTTAAAATTATGAACTATTTCAGGCTTACTGAAAAATAGAATAACATGACAAATATACAGTCACCCACCAAGATTTAATTATTTTTTACATTTTATTGTTTTATTTCTTCAGTAATAGAACCATCACTTAAGTCAATATCTGAAACATAGCCAATGTGAAAACTATTAAGCACTAAAAATAAAGATCTAGTGCTGCCTGGTAAAGCATTTAAAAGTCAGGGATAGTCTAATACAAAGCTCTGTATCCACCACAGGGTGGCAGGGGTAAGGATTGCTGTGTGGATGGGCCAGGCCTTCTGTTTACCTGTATGTAGTAAAAAGCTGGGAGACAACTCAGTGAGTTGCCCAAAAGGGAAACTGCTGGGTTTTAGGATCTTCACATTTGACACATCTTCACATCTAATATTCTTCTTAAAGTGTATTTCCACTGTCCATTAGCTTTGTTACAACCTCTTTTACCGTCCACTTTATAGAATTTCTATGGCCATCTCCATCTTTCCTCCTCCCTTCCAATAACTCAAGTCACTCCTACTTAGAGCCTTTTCCTCTTCACTTCTGCCATTACCCAGATCACAAGACTGTGAATCAGGAGTTCTAATCTCTAGTCCCAGTTGGGTCCTCAGCTACTCTCTGATCCTAAGAAAGTGGTTCCTGTGGTCCTCAGTGTCCCCTAAAAGAATGGACTGGATTTAAGTGGATGGTAAGATGCTCACTACCCTAGTTCTAAAAACTCACTTCAGCAGAACCATTGTGTTTCTCTATTTCCTTTCTCCTGACTTAATGCAATGGAGGGCAGTCCTTCATATGTCAATGTGTTCTTTCTTTAGGCTGTGAAGTTTGAACCATACCATGACAGTGCACTGGCTAGATTCCTGCTGAAGCGTGGCTTGAGAGTAAGTACTTCCACTTCTATAGTAGCGTACCATTTTAGGAACACCAGGAATTGCCTGGTAAACCTACAGCATTAATCATCATAATCTCAACCATATTGTGCCCACCTCAGAACAAAAGAATTGGCCATTTCTTGTTCTGGTTCTTGAGGAGTGAGATAGCCCAGTCCAGACACTATCAGCAGAGGTTTGCAGTGATCCTGGAAGCATATCTACGGGGATGTGGCACAGCCATGCTGCACGACTTCACCCAGCAGGTCCAAGTGATTGAGATGTTACAGAGAGTCACCATTGATATTAAATCACTGTCTGCTGAGAAGTATGACGTCAGTTCCCAAGGTACAGTGGCTGCATTTTCTCAGTTCTCTTTCCAAATGCCTTCATATCCAAATGCCATCATCAGCATGATTCTTCTTCCTGGAAGCCAAGTTGTATTTTCCTAAAGGCAGCCAAGAAAATATTATTTTTCTCTTGTCTGCATGAAGTAAGCAGATTTAAAGCTTTCCTTCTATAAGTTAATGATGTTTTTAAACTATAAATTTGTATATTCTTAAAAATAAAGTCATGATAAATACAAAACTTTGAGACACTAAAAATAGTGTGGATGTTAAATGTGATTTACTAATAATTTCACACCTAGAAAATCAGTTATTTCCAAATTTTTACCTTTCCTGCATTTTCAATAAGTGATTAATTCAATTTTTCAATGTATTAAGGTAATATTGAGAAGTTAGGTTAAATGGTTTGCATTTCATCATATCTATTTACCTATAGCTCTGAATAATATATATATATGTCACCTTTATACATACACATACCACCTCCTCTCTATAGCCATTTCCAGTATCTTGTCTCTGCCCTAGGAAAATTAATCACTTTTATAAAGTGTAAATTGACACAACATTAAATTGTAGTCACTTGCACATCTTTCTGGTATGATAAACCACATGAATCTCAAACCTAGAGGATATCTCTTACTGGTTTTTATAAATCAAGTCCTAGTACTATAGCTTAAAATAGACACTAACATCCCTACCCAGTGAGTTAAGCTTCTGAATGTTTTAGATTTCTACCTTTTCCCTTTGAAATTTTTCTAGCACATTAATAATGCTATCTCCCCAAACTGCTAATGATAACAATTATCTTGTATTTGTACTGGCCTCCGCTTGTTATCCAGACAGTAATTTATATTTCATGCATTTTGCCTTGAGAATTTTGAGGTCGTCACATCTTTTGTACAAACCCTAACTTCCTCTTTTAAAGACTTTACAGAGTTCTGACCCGACCCTATTTAATAGTGTGTTCAAATGCCTGTTCTCCAAATCAGATGGCAGCTGAACATTTCACACACTGGAAAGAAAATGACAGTAGTAATTCTCTAGCATTACTCTCAGAGTATCAGATGGTGGCACCTGTGTGCTTTCCCACATGTGTTCATATATACCCTCTCCCTGCTGAGGGATGTTTGCAGTTACATTGCTCACAGTAAGTCTAACTTATTTTGCCTACTTGAATCGTTAGTTCCCCAAAAGCAGAACTTTATACCCGTTTCTTCTGCTCCATCCAAGACCAGATATATAGAATAAATGTGGCCTTAGGAAATGTTGAGATGTTAGTGTTGATCGTCACTTGCAATCCCATAACTCCTGTGTGCTTTTGACAATTGCAGTTATTTCACAACTTAAGCAAAAGCTTGAAAACCTGCAGAATTCCAATCTCCCCAAGAGCTTTAGAGTTCCCTATGATCCTGGACTGAAAGCAGGTACTTTGGTGGTAGGTATCACTGGGATGTCTTTGTGGGGTCTTTATATCTTGCAAATGTCTACATGCTTTCTAGAGCTGGGGGCTTAAAAACTGATGCTTAGGTAGACACCTAAGCATCCTTGGATGGGCTTTCATCAGGCACTTCTCTAGTCACTAGCTACTGAATGAAAGCCCCAGTATTGGATAATTTCTCTTCAGATGCTTAAGTCAGCTTGTTGACATAGCCTTTACATAAACATTTTTCCACATTATGTATGAAGTTCAGTGAGTTTTGATAAATACATTCATCAACCACCAACAAAATCAAGATACTAAACATTCTTCTCGAATGTTACAGAGAAAATTCTTTCCAGTATCAGCTGACTATATTATAGGTGGGTTTATACCTAAACTCTCTTATCTGTTCTACTATTTCTGTTTTAAACAGATAGATTTAAAAAAATAAATAGGTTAAGGCATTTTTTAGGATTTTCCCACATACTATGTTGGGTATTCTTCTGATATAATTTTCCTTTGACCTTTAACACTTTATACTGCAAGCTGTTGACAATAAATTGCTTCAGCTTTCACTTATCTGAAACATGTCTTATTATACCTTTATTTATTTATTTTCACTAAATGCAGAATTCTGAGTTATTGTGAGTTTTTTCCTGCAGTAGTGTTTTCTCTGGCTTGCCTGTATCCTAATGATAACACCCTGTCCTTGTCTTTGATGTTCTGTATATGATGTATCTTTTTCTTCTTCTCTCTAGGTCTCTCTTCAGACTGTCTTTCCTCACTGGTTTTCAGCAGATAGATTATGATATGGGTTGACATGGTTTTTTTTTATGTAAACTGGCAGAGGCTATGGAGTATCACGGGCTTCTATTCTATCACATTTGGAAACTGTTCAATCATTATTGTTTTTGATCCCTCTTTTCTCTCCTCTTTTTCTGAGACTTCAGTTAACTATATTCTAGGCTATAATCAAGAAACAGTCCTAACAGTAAACTGAGATAACCACAGGACTACTTAACCACTGACCCATCTCTTCAGCCACATCCACAGGACTACTTAGATCTGCCTTCTTCCCCTCTGAGGTCACAGATTTCCATTGCCTGTCGTCTACTGTGTGAAAAGAACTTTCATATATTTTCTCTACTCTAGTTGCTTATGGCAGGACAGAAATTCTTGTAGCAGTTAAACCTCATGAAAAGAAGGGAAAGCTCCTCCTTTGTATGTAAAATTTTATATACAATTACTAGTGAGCCAGCCCTATAGTAAAAGTATATACTACCAACTGTCATTTCAATATTAGTAGAAATATGTATACATATATATTTGTCTTTTTGAGACAGGGTCTCCCTGTAGTCCCAGTTGGCCTGGAACTTGCTGTGTAGACTAGGTTGGCCTTGAACTCACAGAGGTCTGCTTGCCTCTGCCTCCCGAGTGCTAGGGTTAAAGACATGCGCCACCATGCCAGTCAGGAACTTTGATATATTAATACAAATTTCAAACCGTGTTTGCTTTTTTAAAAAAGACTGCATCATATTATTGATCTGTAGTGAATTCACTTTTGGCTAAAACTCATAAATGTTTTTGGGTTTTTGTAACTACTATCATAATCTCTTGGGTTAAATTTGTTTAGGTATGTGGTAGGGGTTGAAGTTAGGCAGGACGTGTTGTGCTTGAGCACAGAAGTTTCCGTTTATTTCTCTTAAATTTTACCTTGTTAGAGTTGGCCTGTTGGGTCCCATTCTTAACTAATAACATTTTAGACAGTGTAGCAACACTGGAACCCTTTTCAGATGAAATTTTAGAAAGGAATGTATGAAGAGATAATAGCAAAATTGCTCTGAATTAAAGGAAGTGTGGGAGTTCCAGTGTCATGTGAGAGTAGGGTACACAGGATGGGATCTACTGTACCTCATGGGCCCTCAACAGACCCTTAGAGTTCCTTGAACACAGTTTGAGATCCATTGGTTGAAGGGTTATGAATTTGTTCACACAAAGCATTAGTAGTTTTGGTGAGAACATCTTAAAGTTGATAGGTAGATAGGTAGATGATTGATAGATGATAGATAGATAGATAGATAGATAGATAGATAGATAGATAGATAGATAGATAGATAGATGATAGAGGGAGGGAGGAGGGGGAGAGAGAGAGAGGGAGAGAGAGAGAGAGAGAGAGAGAGAGAGAGAAAGAGAGAGAATCATCAAAGGAACAAAGGAAGCTGGGGTAGAAGCTCAAGGCAGGAACCTAGAGGCAGGAACTGAAGCAGAAGCCATGGGGGAATGCTACTTGCTAGCTTGCTCCCTCTAGCCTACTCAGCTACTTTTCTTTTTTTAAATATTTTTATTAATTATTTGAGAATTTCTACATTGTATTTCACTCCCTCCCACAACTCCTCCCCCTTCCCTACCCTCCCAACTTTGTGTGCTCATTTTTTTAATCTACCAACTCCAATTTGTGCTGCCCATATACTCTTGGGTATGTGGCTATCCACTAGAGGGTGGTCGACCTATTGAGGAAACACCCTCTTAAAGAAAACACTCTCCCTCTCCCAGCAGTTGCCAATAGCTCATCAGCTAGGGGTGGAACTTCATATCCACCTCCACGCTGAGATTTTTTTTCTGGCTTAAGCTTGAGTAGGTCTTGTACATGTTGTTTTGTGAGTTCATATGTGCAGGTGCCCTTTATGTCCAGAAAATACTGTTTCATTGTACTAATCAACTACCTCTGGCTCTTACTCTTTCTAACCCCTCTTCTGTAAAGACTCCTGAGCCTTGGGAGGTGGGGGTATGATACAGAGCTCTCATTTAGGGTTGGGCACTCTACAGTCTCTTATTCTCTGCACAGTGACCAGTTGTGGATCTTTGTATTAATCAAGCTTTCATTGCACTGGAAGGTGGTGTGCACACTACCAGAGGAGAAAAATAATCATCAGTCTTACCCAGCTTTGAACCCTGTGAGTTACAGTAACGACTGGCCTGGCTAGACACACCCACTGATGCAACAGTGGCATGAATGTCATCAGAGTAACCAAACTATTTTTTAAGATTTATTTTTATTTGTGTGTGTTTGCGTGTGTGAGAGAGACAGACAGACAGACAGACAGGCAGACAGAGACAGAGAGAGAAGGAAGTATGGAGGCCAGAAGATGATGTTGGATGCCCTGGAGTTGGAATTTCAGACAATTGTGAGCCACCTGGAATTGAACTCATGTCCTTGGAAGAGCCACAAGTGCTCTTAACAACTGAGTCATCTCCAGCCCCACCAACCATTTTCTGATTTGATTTGAGGCCCACCCCATGCAATGGAATCCATACCTGACAGCGTTATCGGGGCCAAGGACCTGTGGGGTCACAGGCCCTAGGAGAGAACCTACTACTATTATTCTGCTAAATGGATGTAGTATTAAACCAACTCCTAATGACTTATTGTTATACCCATAGATTTGTGCATTGCTCAAGCTTCATCAGAGAAGCTTCTTTTTGCAGTAGACAGTGCCCATCTGTATTTTCAATCCAAATATCAAAAATCATTTTCTGGCTGGGACATTGTCTTTGTTATTATGGTAATGCTTTGCAGGAGAATTGGTGCCTCCTCAGTGTGTTTTCATTGCATGTAAGAGTCATGTGACCACTTCCTTACAGATTGAAAAATGTAAAGTGATGGCATCCAAGAAAAAGCCCCTGTGGCTTGAGTTTAAATGTGCTGATCCTACAGTCCTGTCCAATGAAACAATTGGAATTATCTTTAAACATGGTGATGATCTGCGCCAAGACATGCTGATCTTACAGGTAGGCTGATGTGAAGGAATTTCTTCAGTTATCTGAAAAAAGAATTCTGTATTGGCCTTAAACATGCCTTCCTTTCCCTTGTCTATTATATAATGAACATCCATCAAAGGGTACATAACAGAGAATTCTTTACTTGGTGAATGTGACTGTGGACCATTAGCTATCCCATCTACTGAGTACCACGGCTCTCTCCATCCTTTTGAGGATGCATTTCCAATGTTTCTAAGTATCCAGATTCACTCATCTCACATGGCCTCTTTTGCTCACCACATTCTGAGTATGATAACGTAGGATGTAGGCTTATTTGCCCACGCACACAACTTTTATTCCTGTTCACAGACATATTGACACACCTGCAGGCAGTCTCCTTAAATACATCCCCTTTGATACACATATACAAACAAAGTCCTGAACTGATGCAAAAGGGAGACAAGAGGAACAGATGGGTGATGGAGAAATCATGCAGGGCAATAATCAGAGAGTACCTGTCACTGGGGCAGGGGGTGAACAGTAAAGGTATTAACAGTAGTCATTCTCAGATATTCTAATAGTTCTGTGTAGTCTTTAGCTTCACAAACCCATAAAGAAATACTCCTCAGTTTCTAGTGGCTCAACAAGGTAGAGGTAAGAGTTTCTACGACAATATGGTTTATTTAAAATAGACAAGGCATACCAAGTTAAAGACAGGCTATTCTTAAATGATCATGTTTTCAATTTGCCCTAAGATTTTGTTTTTACTTATTTGTAAAATAGTTCTTGGATTTCTTTTCAAGAATATATTTATTGTCCAAGAAAGATTTTTTAAAAGGAAAAGTAATCGTTCAATCTTTTTAAGGTTAATTTAATTTCAAATAAATCTGTGTGATCTTTTGAGTTGTTCAAAGATGAGCATGTCAAAACTACAAAAGTGGCTTATGTTTGTCTAATTTTAAGGGAAAGTTTGCACTTTATGTTCATTTTATTGTTGAAGTTCATAGTTTACTGAAATTTTCTAAATCTTTGTTCCCTTATCCACTAAATGGAAATAATAATTATATTCCCAGTATAAGGTTAATGCAAGGACCACACATAAAAGATCAGTCAGCAAATATTAGCTTTTATTATCATCATTGCTGTTTTCACTGCTCTTGCTGTAGCCAGGAAGGATCTTGTGGGTATTAGAGTAGTAAATATGTATAATGATAATGCAGTTAGTGTGTAAGCCTACATAAATAACAAAGTGGAATATTTTGATTGAATAAATAATGTAACATGGTGAAAACCTACCCCAAATGAAAAGTCTTTATCCTCTTCATCCTCTTCACCTCTGGAGCTGATATCAACAGACTTACAATGACAGGAAACTTTAGAGTGCCAACTTGATCAATGAAAGTCGAGTTGTTACTTATGTATGTTCCATTTACCCATATATTGTGTGTTACCAGATAAGATTGCTGGATTTTAAAAAGAAAAGGAAAATATATTGTCCAAATATATATTTATAGTAGAAAGATTTCTGTGTTTTGATGCCCAGATTCTGCGAATCATGGAGACTATTTGGGAGACTGAGTCTCTGGATCTGTGCCTTTTGCCGTATGGTTGCATCTCCACAGGTGACAAAATAGGTATGTGGTTATATCAGATGAGTACATCACTGGGATAGCTTTAAAAGAATATCATTCCCTCAGTGCAGGCATTTGATAACTGAAAAATGACAGTCACAGTCCATATAAAAAGGAGGAAATGTTCCCAGGCTGGTAAATGTGACTTTCAATTTAATCTGGATATATTGAAAACGCCCAGATGGATGACTCAAGGCCTCATGACTATACATGGAAGCAGCCTTCATAAGAACTTGCTCCTTCCTCTTTAGCTCCCTACCTCTAAACTTCAACTCATTTCATTGCACATTAAACAGTTCTCTCACAAATAACATTTAAAATTAGACCGAAAGATCTGTCATTTATTTTTAAAATTCCAGGATTCACATTAACCGAATCTATTACACACTCTACTCAGGTACTTTTATAGACATTTAACATTTTAGCTTCAATCAAACTTATTTCTATTCAAGATTCTGATATGAGAACTGCACAAACATTTGGCCATATTACTTAAAAAGGAAAAGGTACAGATTACCAAGCAGGAAAGGCTATGCTCAGCATATGAATGTCTTTGTTATCCTCAAAACCAGCCCTTTCCCTTAATTCAGGGAAATTAAGAGACTATCACATACAACTTCACCTGTCCTTTCTTTTCAAAAAAAAAAAAAAAAAAACAAAAAAAAAAACCCACAATAGTATAGACCTGGAAAATAGATCTTTGGCCTAAATACAATAAGTAAATACTTCTGCTCTCCACTTAACAAAGACTTTCAACAAAGACTTAGCAGACACCAGGCCTCAGTATCCCTCGTCTTCATGTAGGAATGATCGAGATTGTGAAAGATGCCACAACAATTGCTCAAATTCAGCAAAGCACAGTGGGCAACACGGGTGCTTTCAAAGATGAAGTTCTGAATCACTGGCTCAAGGAAAAATGCCCTATTGAAGAAAAGGTGAGTGCCTGCTTCCCCCACGCACAAGCCTCCATAAGGATTGTCCTCTGTGTAACAATCGTGGTTTCAGGTTTTCAAAGGCTCTTCCACTGTGATGTCACTACCTCCCAACACACTGATGAAGTCTTATGCTCCTGATACAGTGGGGGTTTTGAGGGTTTTCCCCTGATGACACAGCATATCTGTGAAGCAGAGACACTCGGTTTCAGACCCTGTGAACATTTGCTTCTCCCTTGATTAACCAGGCATGCTTTGCATAAAATTTGGTTCTATAAAATAATCTGTTAGCACTTTCATGACTATTTTTGTTGTTCAGCACAAAGACTTAGTTACCATATATAAAGTCTTTCATACTGAACAAAGTAATTTATAATTTACTACTGCATTCTAATCTAAGTGGTAAATTATGGATGTTGAAAATGTCAGCTCCCCATCCCTCTGAAGTCAGATGCTAGATCCTCTGCAAGCTGTATGATTGGGTTTTGTGAATGTCCTTTAACGTTCTACTGCACAGGATCAGCACTTTGCATTTGCGTGGTTAGCAGCTTTTTGAGGAAGAAATATAATTAGTAGCAGTTATTAATCTGTTATACATGGGGACTTGTGAAACCATGCATACAGTTAAGTGGTCACAGCAAAACATATGTACAGAAATTGCCATAGGTTCTGTATGGCTGTGGGCAAGTGACACGCGGAGAGGAAGGGAACTTTGATTAAATTACCATTGCCCTTTGACTCTCATGTCTTCCTCACATTGCAGTGGTTCATTGACTCTTCACTGAAAATATAAGCAAAACAATGTGAAAGTTGGCATATCCTTGATGTGAAACTAATGAAACTGAGCACAACTCACTTGCTGTCTGAAATGGTTCCTAGAACCGTACCTTTTTGGAAGTCATTTGTAATAGATTCAGGCTGCTCTTTGTAGTTATAAAACTGTTAATATTCAGATGAATTTTAATTAGTTTCAGGCAGCAGTGGAGAGATTTGTTTATTCCTGTGCAGGCTACTGTGTGGCAACGTTTGTTCTTGGAATAGGTGACAGACACAACGACAACATTATGATCTCAGAGACAGGTGAGTTTACCCGCCTCAGAATAAATTTTACTGTAGAAAATATGTATACCATGAGGTTTTCTGCTTTAGTCATTTCTAAGTGTGCACTGAGCAGCATTTAAGTACATTGATATTATTTTGCAGCCATCACCACTGTCCATCTGAAACACTGTCCTCATTAAACATTACCTCCATGTCTCCCACCCTCCTAGCACAGAATAATTTTTAAAGGGGGTCCAAGCTGGAGCACAGATTTAAAAGTCATTGTGTGTAGGAACACTGATCACCCCAGATAGATCACTTTTCTTGAGGACTGATAACTAAAGAAGAGGCAGGAAATAAGACTTTAAAAAAAGAGAACTGAGGCTAAAGAGATGACTTGGCCATTAAGAGCACCGGCTGCTCTTGCAGAAGAACCAGGTTTGAGTCCCAGCACCCACATGGTGGCTAACAACCATCTGTAACTCTAGTTCTAGGGGATCAGATGCCCTCTTCTGTCCTCCAGGGGTATTGTACAACATGGATGCACTCATATACATGCATGCACCACACTCATACACATAAAATTAAAAAGAGAAGCTGCTCCAGGGAAAGGCAGAGAGGATGGGGTATTCTTGGAAACCGATAAAGGGTAGGAAAATCAACAATGTCAGATGCTGCAGGGAAGCAAACCAAACAACATATGACATACTCTCAAGTCTGAAACGCCTGCTTCCTTAACTCTTTGCACCTTGCTGTTCACTGTCTATTCTCACAGTAGCCTGTAGTGACTACTACCATAAGACATTTATATAAGAAATTTAACCAACTCATGCTGTCTGCCTGGCATGGTGACCCATGGCTGCATTTCCAACATTCACAAGGCTGAAAGAGAACACATGTTCAAAGCTAGCTTGGGCTACATAACAAGACCCTGTTACACACTAAAAAGTGGAGTCTGGAAAAAGAACCAGAGGTTGGGATGAATTGCTTATTCTTTTCAAGAACAGAAATAACACAATAGTAGATTTATGGACTAGAGAGATGATAAAGTATGATAAAAGACTAAATAAATACAAACTAATGTGGTGCGTATGGTAATGATGGTGATAAGAGGTAGAAACTGACTCAACAAAGATTCAAATTGGTATTTCCATTGTGCTATTTAAAAGTAAACGGTTAAATGTCACGCCTCCAAGCAGAATGTGCTGTCAGTCTGTCAGTTACACAAAGGACATAACAGACTCTTAGGCACAATGGTCATGTATTTGCCAGGGAGTTTTACCTGTCTAAAAATACTTTTTAAAGAAATATTTATTATTTTTATTTTATGTGCATGAGTGTATTGCTTGCATGTGTGTAAGTGCACCCATTGTCATGCAATGCCCAAGGAGGTCAGAAGAGAGCTTCAAATCCCCTGGAACTGGAGTTAAGGACAGTTGTTAGTCATCATGTGGGTGCTGGGAATCGTATCTGGGTCCTCTGCAAGAGCAGCTAGTGCTCTTAACCACTGAGCCATCTCTGCAGCCCTATGTCTAAGAATACTTTTGAGGCAAGAATTTCCCAATGACTTTCATCCCAAAAACAAGCATGTAAAAACCACACTTGGATCAAAGAATGCTTTATGGCCCCTACTTTTACACTCCTGTTAAGACTGAAAACATCAGAAGCTAATAAAACTGTAAAAAAAAAAAAATGCTCTTACTCAAAATAGTTCATTTTCAAGTAACATAAAAATTATTTCAAAAAGCCAAAATGTTATTACAATCACTTATGCTTATGTAATGATGTCAAACATTTTCTTCTTTTAAGGAAACTTATTTCATATAGACTTTGGACACATTCTTGGGAATTACAAAAGCTTCTTGGGCATTAATAAAGAGAGAGTGCCATTTGTGCTAACCCCAGACTTCTTGTTTGTGATGGGGACTTCTGGAAAGAAGACAAGCCCATACTTCCAGAAATTTCAGGTATGTCACCTCTGTCTTCCTCATCAGCTGTAAATAGCCACCAAACAGACTGCTCACCTCTCCCCCTTCTGACATGGTCAATCTACCTCCTTCCTGTCACCTCCTTCCTTCACTAAGTGCAAAACTATGCTTTCAGGAACCTGTTTACCTAAACCCAAACAGCAAGTGAAAGTGCCCCAGTAAGGATGGCCCCCTGGGGAATACAGAACCCCAGGGTGATGCTGGTGCTTAGGAAAGCTTTAAGGAGGGGCATCTGAGGAAAATCTATTCTCAATGTTGACCAGAAGACTCAAACTTCACACATATTTTCCAGGGGTTGCAGATAACTGTGACCTTCACTTAGTTTTTGCTACAATTTGTATCTTTACCATATTACTAACAGGGAATTTATGCTGCACCTTTTATGCATTGGTCTAGTTTTATCAAGGGTAGTCCTTTTCTCCTTGGAAATCTAGTCTCTATAATGAGCTATAGTTTGCCCTCCTTGCCTGTAAGCAAGCTAATATAGACTCCTCCCACAGGAGTTTACCTAGGAGTATTCACATTCTGCATCCTTTTAAATTCCTGGTGTCCTATATCCAGTCTTGGCTATCAAATATTCCAAATACACAATGAGAGAATTTTATACCTGCAAATTTAATAACTGTGAATGAGCACAGTATGGAAACATTGTAGCTCTACTTATTCTGTAACAAGACAAACACAAAACAAAACCAAAGAACAATTACTTATCCTTTCACCTTAGTTGGCCTTTATGTAGCCACTTTCCTTAGTGTGCCTTCAACATGATTTACTTGCATTCCATATCTCAGAGACCAGTCTTTTTCTGGGGTTTCCTTTGAGTCCAATATAAGTCTTGGAAGATGACATGAGCCTCAAGCTTTAGGGAAACAGGTACCTACATGCTATTTTGTAACTTGTGCGTTCCTGTTCTCCTGACTGGTTTCTAGTTGGTAATTATAAAATCACCCTCCCACATCTTCAGCTGTGTGTTGGAGAAACTGAGATCTCAGTGGTCAGATGACATTGGGATTTTGGATTATGCTTTTCTGCATAAGCTCAGTAAGGTTTCAGACAATTTCCAGGGACTGGACGCATTTTAGTTCTGTTTTTCTTTTTAAAGTTAAAAATCACATATTTGACAAATTCCTAGAAGAGAAAAATGAAAAAAAAAACTGGAAGAATTTCACTATTTAAAGGAGGAAGAGTACTCAGTTCTACTCTCCTGGAGGTGCAATATACCTGATTAGCATTAGACAACACGGCAGCAGTAACTGCAGCTCAGAGAATCACAAGTGCATGAAATTTGGCCTCACTCAAAGGATCACTTGTTTTCTATTGCTACATATCTCTTTCTTTTTGCCAGTGAGTGATGCTTCCTAGGCGCCTGTCCTTCTGTCCTGTTGTCATTGATGTCCCCATGGACCCACACAGTGTCTGAGTCACCCTGCCAAGTCTCAATAGCCTTTAGCTTTCTTTGTTGCTTCTGTCATTTGTTTTTCAGTTTTAAAACATCCTGTGATGAAAGCTCTTCAGGATAAGGAGGCTGGGAAAGCACCCTACCCCTCCCAGTAACATCTACTCAAAGCAACTCATTTGTAGGGAGTTTTCACAGACTCTGTGCTCCTGGGTCCAAGAACATTTCTCCATCCTTTATTACCAAAGCTTGTTTCTTATCAATTGAAACCTCCCTTACCCAAGTGACATCTATACAGTATATACCACCCAAAAGTATGCTTTTATGAATTATGTACTTTGCACATATATGTTTTGGAAGACCAGCTAGTATTTTAAGCACCATGATTATGCCTACAGACTGAGCATAGTTGCAGATCAAAAAGGTGGCCTTTGGAGGAGGCAGACTTGAGCATGAATCCCTACTGCTTAATGCCTGTGTAGAGGATAACATTACTTATCCTTTCAGAGTCTCACTTTCTTCATCACTTTTCTTTACTCCCTATCTCATGTGGGGTTTCTAGGCACTATTTATTTATTATGTTTTTATAAAGAGAAAAGTTGTATTTAGCTCACAGTTCTGGAGGTTCCAGATCAAGACCCTGCAGTCCCATGACTCTGGGCCTCTAGGGAACACTGTGAATAATAGTGGCACCTGTCAGAGCCAATTGCTCCCATCTCCAGCCAGAGTTAGGTATTATTTCAATGAACCACAGAGTGGTTGGCCCAACTTAGACCACAGCAGAGACTTGGTCACCATGGTACAGACATCACTGTCGTCATTAAACTTTAGAAATTTTTAAGTTGAAATGAGCTCATTTTGAAATGAGTTCTTAGGCAATATATAAAGCATGACAAATAGCCTGTTCTGGTTAAAGAGTTAGCTGAGTCCTGCCTCGACCTGTTCTCCTGCCCTCTCTCTAGTCACTCTTCCCCATGGTCCCCACCCTCCTCACTCATAACAAGAATAAGCTGACTATTGTAATAGGAAATTATACGTGTGCAGAATTTCCAAACCTTGACTAAAGTGGGCAGCAAAACTTCACTATTTAACTGTGACCTTGGGCAATTTTTCTTTTTGTTCTTTTGTTCCTCTCTTTCTTCATACTGCTAATTCAGAATTTTCTATTTTTCCAATTTTGTTTCCTATTGGAAAAGGTTTTCAAACTCAGGAATTATATCTGTAAATTCTTTTACTAATGACTCAGTCTTGTACAATAAAGCCACCATATTTAGGTAAACTAGAAAATGTATACATTTGCATTTTGAATTAAATTGTCCTCATTTCCAGTGAATTGCTAATTCTGACCTGAATTTAATTGATACATGCTGCATATATGAATAACATGTCATTAATAACACAGAGAAAAGCTGACCCACTTTTTGTTAAAAGTGAGGTGAGTTTTCTCCATAAACAATAAATCACGTGGCCAGAGGACTGAGGATGGAAACAGAGAACTGGAAAAGGAAGTGTTTTGTCCCACTCTCTCTTGTTCATGAGAACTAGTTTAGCCTGGGACTAGTATTCATGGGTAACTTCTAGAATAGGGGGAGACTTCAGGAACAAGCTATGATTAGACAGGAAGACACAAAACTCAGGCCCACCACTTGAAACTAAGAGCATCTGCAGCCTTTGGAATAGCATCTTATACATGGGGGCTAAACTTTTTTGTTTTGTTGGGCTTGTTTTTTGTTTATTATTTATTTATCTATTTATTTATTTATTTATTTATTTATTTATTTATTGTCTTGCCTGCCTCTGCCTCCTGAGTGCTGGGATTAAAGGCGTGCACAACCACGCCCGGCTTATTATTTATTTTTATGTGTATGAGTATTTTCCCTGCATGCAATTCCTGCAGAGGCCAGAAGAGGGCATCAGATCCACTGGAACTGGAGTTATGGATGGTTGTTAGCCACCATGTGGGTGCTGGGAACTGAACCTGGATCCTCTGCAAAAGCAACCAGTGCTCTTAGCCACTGAGCCATCTCTGCAGCCCCTTGGTTTGGTTTTTGAGACAGAGTTTATGTAGCACTGGCTGGCCTGGAACTTGCTATGTACATCAGGCTGAAACAGGCTAAACCCCATGTCATACAGAGTCAGGCTTTAGCCTGTCATTGAATCTTTAACATAAAATAACTACGTATGAAAGGAATATCTCTCTGTCAGCAACCTTCACAGCAAATGTCAAGAATTCTTCTCATCTAGAAAGAGGCTTCAACAAGACTCTGTGGTGAGGGGGTCCTTTGCATTCCTGTGTCCCCATAATTTTTCCTATCTTCCTAACCTGCCTCAATGCCACTGCATTTTAAGTTTCAGTGAGCAGCTACAAACATATATAACACAAAAATATATTTATATCAATGACACATGAAAATTGGCTTTCCGTTTTTCAACAAGAATTGTATTAGTTTTAGTTTTTTTCTAAAAGTAGTAAATATTTCTTATTAAAAATGAAAAGCAAAATATTTTTAAGTATCTGTAAGATAATGAAACCTTATTATCTCTCCTTCCAGAGGTAAAACTCGGCATTTCATTATTTTCTAATCTTAAAAGTAGTAAATATTTGTTATTAAAAATGAAAAGCAAAATATTTTTTAAGTATCAGTAAGATAATGAAACCTATTGTCTGTCCTTCCAGAGGTAAAACTCAGCATTTCATTGTTTTCCCATCATTCTCTTAAATCTTACTTGTCTTTTAAAAGATTGTAAATGAGGGGCTCTAGAGATGGCTCAGCAGCTCACAACTATCTGTAACTCTAGCTCCAGGACATCCAACACCCCCTTTTGGCCTTTGCAAGCACCCATATACAGATGACATAATTCACCCAAACACACAGGCACATACACATAAATAATTTTTTTAATTATTAAAGAATGTAGATGAGTCAGAATTTACTTAAAAACTGAACTTGAGAAGCATAGTGGTACACACCTTTAATCCCAGCACTCAACAGTCAGAGGCAGGTGGATCCCTGTAAGGTAGAGGCCAGCCTGGTCTATATTGTCAGCTCCAGGCCAGCTGTGGCTATAAGAAGAGCTACAAGGAGACCTTGTCTTAAAAAAAAAAAAAAAAAAAAAAAAAAAAGAACTGAACTTGAGAAGTAGACACACTAACAGACATAGTATCAAACCGCCTTCTGAATACCTTTCTCATATCCATAGATTAGTGAAACTACCAACTCTCAGGGAAGCTTTACTTTGCAGTTGATTTCAGTTAACACAGAGACTCAAAGCTGGCCAGAGTGCAGAGGATGAGTAACCCTGGCATGCTCAGCCCTAAATGAGAGTTTATATTTTACCCCTCCCCACACAGCTCTGTGAACATTTCAGAAGACGATCTGTGAAATTTGCGGAAGGATTCTAAGAGCCAGAAGTTAGAGAGGACTGATGTAAACAGTGTCTTCTGTGTATGTCAATGACATTGCACTCAAAATCACAGCAGCTGTGGCTGCCTCTACAAGACAGACACAAGATCAAGCCAGTCAAATTTCCAGCATAGATGGGAGAAGGGTTCTCAAAGCCCCATCCTTAGATGACAAGCTTT